CGAGAAATCAACGTGCGCTTAATGCAACGTTAGCATATTTTACTTCTTGACCAAACTCGGCCAACGAGTTGGCACGACCCGCACATAACTGAAGAATGTAGTTAGCTTATTAGTTACTCGGCATGCGTGCCACTTAAGCTTGGTAGTTTTTAGGATCAACACTAAACTATGAGTAATTAGATATCATCATTATGACAATTTTCTGACTTTCCTAGTGTTTACAAATATATGATCATAAAAAACAATTTCATATTATGTTCGTAATCCAAACTAAGATATAGTTGGTTTTATATTTGTTTCTTGTGTCTGTTCATGAATTTGTGATTTCGTTCGTTCCAAGTAAGTAACATGCCATAAAAACTCAGTCATAGCCATGTCAGACAACAATAACAGTGAAAAAGCAAGTTAAATTTAGTAATTATGGTAGTTCTAACATGTTAGACGCTTTCGTTTTCCCATTTAAAATTTTAAATATCTAATAGCCAAAATTTATGACCTAACTAAAAAATCACTCGTCCCATCTGTATTCGGGATTAGAGCCAGTCTAGTCTGACCAAATAAACCTTCGTTGATCAAACTGTGTGGGTTAAAGCTTTTTGGCCAATTTTGCAGGCTAGTATTTGCTAACTTCTCGAGGAGCAGAGCAAATTGGTGGTTGTATTTCTTGATCGGAGATACTAAAATTGGAATAGGCTTGTCGCTAAGTTTCAAATAGTTGGGAGTATTTATCTTTTCCTTCTAGTTTTTGTGCATCATTTGTCCCTAAATAATAAGGAAAACTAATGAAAAATGTTTTAAAACTTTGAGTTTTAACAATAAGAACAAAATAAAGGGTAAAGTGAATAGTATCAGGTTTGACTTTTTAGTGTAAAAATGTGGTTTTTCGTTAAAGTGAACAGTAACGCGGGCTTTTCGTTAAAACTCCCATAATAATACCCAACTTTAATGAAACACAATGTAATAAGGCTTCGTGTGACATCCCACATCGCCCAGTGGAGTGATCCTTATATATATATATATATATATATATATATATATATATATATTCTCATCCCTACTTAGCACAAGATCTTTTGGGAGCTCACTAGCTTCGGGTTCTGTAGGAACTCCGAAGTTAAGCGAGAAGGGGGATAGAGCAATCCCATGATGGATGACCCATTGGGAAGTTGCTCGTGAGTTCCCAAAAACAAAACTGTGAGGGAATGGTAAGCCCAAAGGGGACAATATCGTGCTACTATGGTGGAGCGGTGTCACATCCCGGCCCGGGGATGATCACTTCCCGGGCCCGCTTCACCACCGTAGCACGATATTGTCCGCTTTGGGCCCCGACCATGCCCTCACGGTTTTGTTTCTGGGAACTCACATAAGAACTTCCTGATGGGTCACCCATCCTGGGAATGCTCTCGCGCGCTACTTGCTTAACTTCGGAGTTCTCATGAAACCCGAAGCCAGTGAGCTCCCAAAAGGCCTCGTGCTAGGTAGGGATGGGAATATACATTTAAGGATCACTCCCCTGGGTGATGTGGGATGTCATAATAAAAAGGTTGGGTTGGGCTGCCCAGGGTTTTGGGCTTGGCAGGAAAGGCCCAAAGGCCTTGGGTGTTCGTTGGATTCCAAAGGAAGAGAAGGCCAGATTTCGGCTGGAGAATTCCCAAGCTCCGTTGGAGCCCAAAACTCAACCAAAACATGTCATTCAATATACCAAATTGAAGCCCCGAAGGTAAGGACCTTGGTTCCCGTCATCGTGGCCGGAGTTGGCCGGAAAACAGCCTGGAAGCCACGGGTGTCCGCCGGAAACTGGGTAAGATTCAAATGAGTATAACTTCTTCAATACTCAATGAAATTGGGTGAAACAAAAAGGAAAGTTGTAGTACTCAGCGAGACGAAGAGATTGCACACCGGCCAACTCGCCGTGGTTTGGCCGGAAATTGCCTCGAAATGGGCGGTGCTTGCTGGAAAATTGGGGAAATGTCTCCGAGGTGGTTTCTTCATGGTTTGACGTCCAAAACATAACCACAGGGTTAGAAAAGAGCTATAGGTGTGGGCATGGAGGTGTGTGTGTGTGGGTGTGTTTTGCTCGCAGGGAGGGAAAGAAAGACAGAGAGAAGAGAGACTTTTTAGAAGAAATAAAAGAAAGGGAAAGGGAAAGGGAACCAGGGAACAAAACAGGGGTGGGCCCCTTGGGCTCACCAAATAAGACTCAAAAACAATTTTAAAAAGGAAAGTATCCCCCAAACTTAGTGAAAATACAACAATACTCATTTTCTTCCGTAAATCCCCGGACGGGTTGTTACAAGCAGGTCCGGGAAGTGATCCGCCTCGGGTCAGGATGTGACAATTTGGTATCAGAGCCTAATCCTAGCCGCGAGTGTGCCGACGAGGACGTCGGGCTTCTAAGGGGGTGGATTGTGACATCCCACGTCGCCTAGGGGAGTGATCCTTATATGTATATTCCCATCCCTACTTAGCACGAGGCCTTTTGGGAGCTCATTGGCTTCGGGTTCCGTAGGAACTCCGAAGTTAAGCGAGAAGGGGGCTAGAGCAATCCCATGATGAGTTACCTACTGGGAAGTTGCTCGTGAGTTTCCAAAAACAAAACAGTGAGGGAATGGTAAGCCCAAAGCGGACAATATCGTGCTACGGTGGTGGAGCGGGCCTGGGAAATGATCCGTCCCTGCCCGGGATGTGACACTTCGTATCTTTTTTTTGGTTAAAAATACGGTTTCGTTTCTAAGGCACCTTAACATGGATAGTAGTCGCAATATATAGGCAAAAATTCAACAGTTGCTGGTATTTAGAGTTAAGAAGACATTTAATTGTTCAATCAAACGGCTACAAAACTAAAAGGGTGTACATAATTATTTAAAAGAAAAAATTTTGTAAAAAAGTATTTTAAAAACATTATATTTCATGGTTGGTTTTTTTAGAGCAGGTAATGATTGGGAAACCAAATTTGTAGACAAAATTTGCAAATTAGGTGATGTGTCACCAATAGAAATGAGCATGTTTATCAATGCTTAATTTATAATCTAATTATCAACTTCCACAGCATTTAATTTGTAAAATTTTATCTACAAATTTATTCTTCCTAACATTACCCTTTCAGAGCAGTATGTAATTGACGAAAGCTGGATAAAAAGACAAAAGCAAACCACAACTTTAGCTAGGCTTTGCAACCATAATGGGCACAAGAAGTAGGAAGAAGTCCGAAAGTGGAAAAGCTATTGTCCTCCAACTACATAACAAAAACAAAAGAGTAAATTGTAGCAATTGCCCCTCAATTTTAATCAAATTGGAACAATGGTCTTTCAATTGAAAATTTATTACTATTGGTCCCTCAACTCATCAAAATGTGTAGCTAAGGTCATTTTCTTCAACTTCGTCAGAATTATGTTGGAAGGACCATTGCTACAATTGGGGTCCCTCAACTCATCAAAACATGTAGTTATGATCATTTTTGTCAACTTCGTCAGAATTTTGTCAAAATGAGTTATATTGGAAGAACCTTTACTCCAATAAAGTTAAAGTTGAGGAACCAATGATAATGAATTTTTAGTTGAGGGACCACAGCTGCATGTTTTGATGAGTTAAGGAAATAATGGTAATGGATTTTTAGTTGAAAAACCATTGCTCTAATTGAGTTAAAGTTAAGGGACCATTGCTATAATTTACTCAAAACAAAATTACAAATATGTCCATCATTCAAATATATTTAAAAATAATGTATTATTTTCAAATAGTTATGTAACAGCCAACGTGCTTAAAATATATATATATATATATATATATATATATATATTTGTGCTGCTTTCTGAATTTCACCAATATTACTTGTATTTTCATGCTTCATTTGATACCAAACTTGTTTTTCCAAAACGCAAAGGGGAGGAAGAAGACCATATAACCAAAAATAAATTAATTAATAAGAAACAGATGGCATGGACTTAATCATAGGTTTAATCATATTTTTTTAGTAGTTAATACGACGGCCGATGGTTTTCTTAGGATACAATCACAATCATTCTTGTGTTTGATCTAGCAATTGTTAGGTGAAATTTATATAAAGACTCTCATTACTAAAAAAAAAAAAAAACCATAATAAATAAAATAAAAATACACAAGTAGATTAGTAATGTTATGTATTTCATTGTAAGGTTATTTGATAGTCTGATTGGCTAAATGGCCCAATCATTAATTTTCTAATCATGTCACATAATTTGGTATAATGTTATTTATCTCGTTTTAATGTTATTTGAAAGTTTAATTGGCTAAATGGTCGAACCATCAACTATAATCATGTCAAATAATTCATTATAATGTTATTTATCTCGTTGAATGTTTTGACTATCTGATTGGCTAAACGGTCTAACCATCAAGTATAATTATGTCACATAATTCGGTATTGAATCAACAATGACATGTATATAATTGAAGTATTGATAGTACTCATACTATGAATAACATGTTGATAATTGAGTTTCTTCACCCCTGATCATCAGCAGTTCGATCAACGAATGGAAGAGGGGAAGCATATGCCTCAGTAAATTGCACTACACTTAGCACACACTTATTTTCGTGACGACTTGATTCAGCATGCAACAATGCAAAATTATACTTACCGATATTAAATGGTGCGATCAATCAACTAATCAAACAATCTACCCCAAACTTCCTCATAAAAAAAACATGAAAATCAAGATTTAGTGTGGGAAAATGCAAGTTGGTTAAAACTAGATTATCTAATTTGCCACCAAACCCATGTGTGAAACAAAGATTTGTGTCAAGCCATCCATCGAAGGATAAGACATACAAAACCTAAAAAAATTGCCGAATAATAATATCTGACAGCTGCCCGAGCTCTGACATTAAAATTGTTCATTAGTACAATAGAAAGAAGAAAGGACCGCGCGGTCAAGCTGCCCGAAATCTCAGCGGTCAGTCCGAATTTCGAGGGCAGTCCCGCAAGTACTAGTCGTTTACTACTTAATTGACCATTCACATCGATATTCATTGCAGCCTAAGCCACTGCTATCGCCAGAACTGTCCCACCTCCGCCCAGCCGGTGGCAGCACGTCGCCATTGAAAGGTGGCGCGTGTGAAACTTATCTCTCAGGCCACCTTTCAAATGCGATAACGGTAAGAGTGTTGAGGGAGATGGGTCAGGGCCTGAGCTGCGGAGAGCCTCGTGAGAATGGAGTCTTTGGAGCTGTGGAGAATGGGGACCTGGATCTCGTTGGAGCAATGGTGGAAGCTGACCCAAGTGTTTTGGAGCTGAGCAAAGGCCGCAGCCGGCTGTCCGCTCTGCATGTCGCCGCTGCAAATGGCCGGATCGAGGTGGGTTTTGGATTTCATTGATGGATTTTAATTGTAATTTATGTTCATTAATGTTCTTCATCGGATTAAGTTTAGGTTCTCGCTATGCTGTTGGATCGGTCTGTTATCAATCCAGATGTGGTGAATCGATACAAACAGGTAATGGGATTTTGTTTTTGATGATTTTTGTGTATAAAGATTAGTTGCATGCTTTGGATTGGATTGCCTTGTTTTGAATTTGTCCTTCCCAATTTTCTTATGTGGTTTGAACTGTTTGTGAATGTGATGGGGTTTTAGACTCCGTTAATGTTGGCTGCAATGAATGGGAATATCACTTGTGTCCAGAAGCTTATCCAAGCGGGAGCAAATGTATGTTCACTGTTCAAATTACCTTTTTCTGTTTTCGTATACAGTTTTTGACTTGAATTATACTGCTGAGATGCTGATATTTAAGTTTTCTGTGTGAATTGTTAGATATTGATGTTTGATTCCCTGAACGGAAGAACCTGCCTGCATTACGCTGCATACCATGGCCATTCAGACTGCCTTCAAGCCATTCTCTCCACCGCGCATTCCACCCCTGTTGCAAATTCTTGGTTGGTCCTTCTTCACTGTCTCTCGATGTCTCTCTCTCTCTCTCTCTCTCTCTCTCTCTCTGATGATTGATGTTTATGCTACATTGAATGGCATTGGCAGGGGATTTGCGAGATTTGTGAACATAAGAGATGGAGGTGGTTCAACCCCATTGCATTTAGCTGCCCGCCAAAGATGGCCAGAGTGCGTTCATGTTCTTTTAGACAATGGGGCTCTTGTTTGTGCTTCAACTGGTGGATATGGGTAATTATCTATATTAATTATTTTCATGTTATAGATTTATAGTAATACTTTGACAGTCAGATTGATTGCAGTACCATATATGTGCAGCTACCCTGGAAGTACACCACTTCACTTAGCTGCTCGTGGTGGATCCTTAGATTGTGTCAGAGAGTTACTTGCTTGGGGAGCAGATCGGCTTCAAAAAGACTCTTCTGGGTAACTTTCTTTAATGGGTGGTGTAATGCCTCTGAATAATTATGCATCTTGCCATGTTTGAAACACTAGGCAGTTGTCTGTATTAGTCAATAAGGTCGACGAGTTTTTGCTTCTCATAGACTTTAATGGAATCATTGCATTCCATAAAACAAATGGATTTCTAATTAGGAATTTGTGTTGTTTTTAATTCCTTAATTTCTTATCGCTGCCAGCTAATTGCTTACCTGTTTTTGAATGGTATCTTGGAAGAACCCAATGTTGGTATTAATATATGGATACAATCCTCAAGAAAAAAGGCCTTCTTTGCACCATATTTTCTGCATTGGAAATCTTTTTAAGCATTGTCAGTACACCAGTAAAAATTCAGGCTGACGAGCTTGTTTTGTTGATTTTGTACTGCAAATCATTCGCGTTATAAATGAATTGTGCCTCTAAACCCACAAGTCTTCCTTCTTTAATTTGTAAATGTTCTTATTTTGGTAAAAGGTAGATTCTAGATTTATAGATATGTTGTCATGACGTCTGAAAAGTGGATCTCTGCAGGAGAATACCATATACAGTTGCTCTGAAGCACAAGCATCAAGCTTGCGCAGCCGTATTGAACCCTTCATCAGCAGAGCCTCTTGTCTGGCCATCGCCTTTGAAGTTCATCAGCGAGCTGAATCCAGAGGCTAAAGCTTTGTTAGAAAAGGCATTAACGGAGGCAAACATGGAGAGGGAGAAAACTATCTTGAAGGATACAGTTTACTCACTTCCATCTCCTCTGCATTCAGATGCAGAGGCTGATGATAATGCCTCTGAGGTAAACGTGCCTTCTCTTGTTGCTTATGTTTGCATTTTTTTTTTCTTGATAGGATTGGGTCAGTCAAAAGAGTTTATAGTTTTTCTAGGGTTATCTATTTGTTTATATTGGAATTATTAAAAGAATATCAGAATTGCAAGTACATGGCGTCAAATGTGTTTTTTGTGCACCGATGCAATGAAACCTTAGCAGAATTATATTTCTTGGACAATGCATGTCCCTTTCTTATTCATGGGTCAAATCATATCATACAGGCTAGCGATGTGGACCTGTGCTGCATATGCTTTGACCAGTTATGCACAATTGAGGTCAGACCATGTGGTCATCAAATGTGCGCGCATTGTACCCTTGCTCTATGCTGCCACAAGAAGCCCGATCCATCATCTACTTGTCCTACAGTCCCAGTTTGCCCCTTTTGCCGAACCACCATTACCCAACTAGTTGTTGCCAACATTAAGGCCAACAATGACGTGGATCCGGAAATGAGTCCCACAAAGCCAAGGAGATCAAGAAAGTCTAATGTCAGTGAAGGCAGCAGTAGCTTCAAGGGGTTGTCTCCCATGAGCTCATTCGGAAGGATGGGAAGTCGCAGTTCAGGGAAGGTAGCTGCCGAGTGCAATGAGGAGATCCATAAGCTTTGACAATTGGAGATATGGACTTGTTCTCTTTGAACCTGTTGATAGTGCAGCAGATGAAGGAGCTTGTTGTCTTGGTTTTGCTCGGGAAGATGGAGAGGGATCCTCAGCGGTATGTTTTCCAATTCGTTTGGAGGGTCTTAGTTGCTAAAGAGCATATGAGAATATAGATGTCCTTCAGTAACCTGGATCTCCAGGTCTTGTTTCTTTGAGTCATTTGAGTCTGTTTTTCTTTAAATTAAAGAAGCAGCAAAACTTTCAAGGGTTCCTCACCCAATTATAAATATAATTCTCCATTAAATAAATAAAAGTTCAATTACATTACCCTTTTCATTTGAGGAAACAAAGGATTCTTTTTGTTATTTCATGTTTTTTCTAGTCCTTTTTGCCTCATTCACTCTTTTATGATTGTGTAACGAGAGATTAAGTCTGTCTTCCTACTTTAAGGTAGAAACTTATAATGTCAGGTAAAAAAAAACTACTGAGTTTTTCGGTAAGAGCCGTCTGTGGCGAGGAATCAACAGAGCCACTTTAACATATCTGCATCTGCAAGGAGTTGTGTTGTAAAGAATCTGTTTCCATGGGTTTAAGCTGCAGTTTCCTCGCAATCTAAGAAAGCGTGTGCAGATGTGGGTTAGGTAGGGGTAGAGTATCATGTATCTCCACTTTCACCTGAGTTCGTTACCTTTTCCCGTAGATTAGATTAGTTTAGAATATTGAGCATGTTAAAGTGTGAAACTAACACACCATTACCAAGCAGTGGAATTCAGAGTTTAATTATATATTTATATATTAATTAAAATAAGAATCCTCCATCAATGAGGGGTCAATGATCATTTGATAAGCTATCCACACAAACATGAAAACAGTAATGGAGTTCCAAATCCATCGTCGTATTATAAAAACTCTGTTGGATGTTGCTCCGCCATCTCCACTCTCTGAAGGACTTGGCTGAGCAGCTGCAACTGCACCGTCCACAAACACCCTGTTGCGGCCGGAAACCGGCACAGACGGTGAGAAATCGGGGCCATATTCGGCTTTTTACGACGTTATTTCTTTGGTTAATTTGTTGCTACTTGCGCTCCTTTCTGCCTCAAGAAAGTGACCTAGTGATGGAGTATTATTGCTCACTTTCACAAATTCGTTCGTTAGCTTGGAGCAGAAGGAAAACATTTCCTTCCCCTTGGATCTTCTGGAGAGGTCTAAGATGCCGGAAACGCCGATGAGGCTCCCCAGTGTGATGCTCTTGTCATGGAAGAAAGATCCAGTTGACTGAAACCGGGTGGATTAAAGAATCACTAAAATAAGAATCTCACGATTTACATAAAATACCAAACTTGAACACAAAACATGATAATATGTTCCAACGAGATGCAACAATAACGTCATTGTAGCGGTATTACAATCATGCTTAAGTGCAAATGGGCCTCTTCGGTAAACATAATTGAGCATTGGGAAGTTTCATGTGCTGATATTTTATTAAAAGCAAGAGACAATATCAAGTTAACAAGGTCAAACACCATGATGGTCTTCCATGGGGAAGACTAAAGATGGACTAATCCAGCTTTAATTAGGGAAATCTCTATATATTGGGACTTAATTATAGAGATTTAATTATAGAACTCGAAATGTTTTTCATGCGCATTCCCATTAGAGCATCCTAAATGAGAGGAGCTAAAGCTGGTTTTAGCTTCCTTTGCATGGATAGAAACATTGAGGAAGTAAACCTTTTTAGCTCTAACATGAGAGAAGAATGGATAAGACACGAGTATACCGTTACACTTACAGTGATGTCTCGTGCTAAATGGTACAATAATATTGTTTGTTTTTCACTCCACTTATCATTTTATTACTGGAATAAGTGTTACAGTAACGATGTATCCGTACCATATAAGTTCCTCTCCTATAAAGAAAGCAGACAGAGGTTACATACTTCAAGATGTAAAATTTACATGTTTTTAAGACATATAATCAGACTGATCTGCTGAAGTTTTTTTTTCTCAAAGTGCTAAAAAGTGGTGGTATCCCCTCTTTCCCACCCCATGGATATGGTCTTGTGCTCTTACCACCTACATGGCAGGTGTACACTTCAAGGAAATCAATTCTAAACATAACAAATTGAGACATAATGAAAGCAGAGGAATGTTGCATTATTAAAAAGGAGGAAAAAAGCAGAGACGTGAGAGAAATCATGGAGAATGATGAGCCAACAAGCATGGTGGTATGGCATGCTAGTACAAATTTAAAATGCATGCTTAATGATGGGTTTATAACTTTATTCGAATCACATTAAATATTTTTCCATCATTAAATCCATTGCAGAAAAATACTGACCTCTGTATCAAGATCTGAGGAGGAGGAGGAGGAGGTAGAAGCAATGGAGGAAGTCCGAAAGGCAGTGATCAAAGTGCTGAATGAGACCGAACCACCGGTCAAATCTCGGTTTTTGATCAACCTAACTCTCGCATTTAGTAGTCTCAATCCCAACGGCCACCCTTCATCCTGCAATCCAAATTACACAAATGAGTTTTCATAGGGCTGGTTTGGTACAATTAAAATTATTTTAAAATCAGTTTTTTTTAAAAAAGCTGGTGCTAAATTGTGTTGAGTAAATTAAAAAAAATGTCATGGGTTCAAAACATCAAAAAGTAGAAGCAGTTTTACCCCTGCTTTTGAAAACAACGTTTTTTTTTTTTTGCACATCATAGCAACCCCAAACTAGCTACCATTGAAAAAACTCTCCTTATTAAGAAGTCTACAAAAAATTTGTTTCACGCACGTACTTCCGTAACAGATGCTCCGATTTTATATAAGATAATTTGCATATTTTTTTATGCATCTATCGTCGTGTTCAATCGAAAAAATATAGAGAATTGTACATATAACGCTTGAGGTTCATTCGGATTGAAGAATTTAAAAACAATGGATTTGATTTTTATAATAAGCTTACATAGATAGATTAGAAGAATGACACAAATATAAGACTAAGTTGATTTAAATGGCTATATACATTGTAACATAAGAGACTTCAAATCCAAATAATTGTGCTAATGTGTATGCTCAAAATGCTTGAATGTAATTTTAAATATGCGTTCAAAAATTCAAATTATTCTTTGTAACTAGTCATTCAAATTCTTAATATTACATTGAATTCAGTCACTTTACAGGTTCCTTTTGAGGAGAAGTTTAATTTCCTGACGTGTGATTCACACTTTTAACACACTTTCTGTAAATTTGAAGAATATTTGAAAACATTGTCACAAGATCATCAAACAGCTACAGGGTAGAAAAAAGAAAAAGAAGGAAAGAGAAAGGTATATGGTACACTGTACGAATTTAAGATTCGTTTGATAATTGCTTTTTGAGAGTTAACATCACTTCCAAAAAAAAATGTAAAAACGCGTTTGTTCTTAAAAATAGTTGTTTTGCGAAACTTTTAAAAATGCATTGGGTAAGAATAGAAGCACTTGGAGTGAATTTTCTAGAAGCACCTAGAGGTGCTTCTTGAGTTTCTCTTCTTAAAAACACGGGTAGCACTTGGGTCCCTTCAACATAGTTCCTTGGAAGATCCCATGGTCAAGACTTCCACAAAAATTATTCCGTTTCGTTAGTTCCATGGGAATGGCTCTCTAATATGTCTGTGTTAACAACCAAACACTCTTTTTAATATCAAAAGCGCTTCTACAATACGAAAACACTTGTTTATCGGCCAAACAACAAACTGTTTCCTTATAAAAGCGTTACTGAAAAGTGCTACAAACAAAAAGCATTGATAAGTACAAGCACCTTATAAATTTGTACTTCCAAACGAGCCTTTAATCTAATATATTGTTGCAAAACAACTGCAAGGGTGTGTCTCATTGGTTGCATCTGGTGTTGAATTTAGGGAACATTGTGGAAAACGGCCTTGTAGTTGAATTGCACTTTTATTACCCAATCTGTTCATTTGTGTATGCATAAGTTAGGTTAGTGGGTTAAGGTAGCGTGCCCGCTTCCTTACACCTAAGTTTGAACCACTCCTCGGCAAATTAGAGTAGGAAATTTGTCCCTGGACAAGTTTTCCAGTTCAAAAGACATTGTGAAGATACAATCACACTGGAATTCTCAAACAAAAAATTCTGAGAATTATACAGCACAACCTTAATAAAGCAAATCGGGAACAACTATTGAGATCACGGTTAATGGTTGAACTGACTTGCACCTGGTCGGTACTCTCCGATTCCTAGCAGATCCTGCAAATGTGAAGATACATTATTCGAACTTTCAGGGGAAATTTCAACGGACTCTTCCAACAGGCGGCTGAGCGCCCCAAATACAAATTAAGAACATTGCAACATAAATTCAAAAGGAAAGGTACTAATGGATTAAAAGAAAAATAACACCAGGTTTAAATCAGTTGGGCATGAAACCCCAGGAATCAAAGATACAATGACCAAGATCTGACGGTTAAAAACCTCGGAATATAGAATACTCTGGAGCACCATAGAATTTTCCGAGAAGTGTACTTTATATTAATTTAATCAAATTATGGAGCTTTCTCTTTTGATGTTTGGATTAGCAAACAAAGCCTGGAAGCACTTAAAAAAGATAGCACATGAATGGTTCTGACACTTAAAACTAGATTATCTCACTCTCTGATGCTATGTGCCTTGGACTCTACTCCAAACCCGACAAGAAATCTGTGTATTTGGTCATCTTCCCCATGGAAGCTTTAGTTTTACCCTCACCATTTATCAAAATTAAAAGAAAATCATACCCTCACTCAGCAAATGAAAAGCAAGCTCCAGCAGAATATGAGAACCAGTTCTATGAAGGCACACATTGAGTCCCTTATCAAACAGATTCATAGAAGATACTTGGAAATCATATGGGGTTCAGAAAAAAAGAAAAACTATAGTTATCTGCTATAAGCCTATAAATCACAAAATTCGGAGCCAAACACAACGATTTAGACAGTGTTAGACTGTATTTAGGTACAATTCAGTCATTGAGGTTGACAGATTTGTCTAACTTTCACAATAAGATCAACAAGAAAAAAGGCAAACATATAATAGTCTAATCATCTAATCTAAGTGAGCTGAGGTGATAGAAGCGAACTTCCTAGCCGTGTACCAGATGAGATGAGCATTCGACGATAAGCTTGGGTTAAAACAAGCATAGAATTGTATTTAAATGAAGCTGCCAAAACATGCCAAGGGAATATAGAAAAAGAGAGAAAATTTTACCTGGGATGCTTTGCTTTTAGCCCTGGTCTCCGCTGTGCTCGGAATATCATGATTTGCTTTATTGAATCTCTTCTCACGCCGATCGCATGCACCCCATCCATCTGAGAA